CGCTCCAAAAGACATAAAATGCAACGGTAACATCTCCAACGTTCCAATTTTTGAATGGCAGAACCTTGTCATCGACATAATGCCGCCGACAATAAGTCCACCAGGTCGGTGTTTGCCGCTGGTAACATTGTCCATGTATAGTGGAAGTGATGAAATTATTTCGTATATAAACCCGGTAAACGTCATCAAAAAATGATCAATTATGCAAGATACCTATAAACTGAAATGATCTTTAGCAAGAAAAATAAGTATATTTATTGTATTTATTTATAAACAAACTGAAAAATATTACCCTTTTAGGATCAACGTAGTAATATTATGCACTTCAACGATGTTTTAGAAAAATATTACACCTGTTAGGATCAAACTAGTATCATTATGCACTTCAATGATGTTTTGGATCCTAAACTATTCATTAATCCACAAATTGGGTATTTGTATCAATATCCAAACCTACATCAACATAATGTGGATGTTATGAATTATAATTTTCATCACCTTATAATCCAGACTTCTAAGGTTACTCCACAAGTATTGTGGCTAGAGGATTTAGAAGCTAAGAATATTTGTTTATAATTAATAATGACAATATACAATTCCAAATAAAACCTGATAACCGAAAACAATCAAGTTAAATTACTTTACAGTTTACTGCATTCGGGGCAAGGGAAATGGCCTCTAGCTCCACATTTGTTGCATGACAAAGAACTCGTCTTTGACTTAACTTCATCTGAAGTGATTAAGCTAAATACACCATCTTGTCTGAGTGATCCAGAACCTTTGCAATTTGAGCATGCAATCAACCTTAGATCACCACATCTCTTGCACATGCCTAATGAGCTACGTATTCCAACAAATATCATCAGAAAAGCTTGCTTATGTTATATCATTAACCCAGTCAAACTGGTAAAATAAATAAATGAATAAAAGATAGATAAACAGAAAACAAGTTACTTAGAACTTATTAGAAGGCGTCGATCTAGAAATATTGGGTGTTTTAGTTTTACTCTTGCATATTTGCCCTAAAATAACATTTAAGATTGAAATTAATCACACAACCCCATAAAAATTATTCAAGATTGGATCAGTAAGATGAATTCCTCAAGTTCTACTCTTCGGTCTTTCCTATTTACCCAATTACCCCATAAATTATAATCCAAAATTTTCTCTTCTAATGTGCGAGCTGACAATTTCACTGTTCCGACTTTATTATACTATAATCCAAGACTTTTCTTCTATTATCTAATATGAAAGAAATGGAAGAAACCCATAAATAAGATTCAAAATTGCGTCACATGATTATGAATGCATTGAACTAGAAGAAAATTTGGGAATTTCTTTCTTTCCACATTAACCCTACAATAACATTCAAATATCTAAGATTAAATTAATCAAGAAAAAACATAAGAAAGGTGCAAGATTACTTCCAAATATGATGGATGCAACTAAACAGTTGAATCTAGAGATAAAAACAAAACAATAAGGGATTACCTGCGTTGAGAAGCAGAGATGAAAGAATCGATCTTAGGGGCGGAAATTGTGGCGCAAAGGAGAAGAGCACCAACTCCATAGCCGGCTACTTCACTTGCTGTTATGTGTTCCAGCATGGTTTTGTTTTGTGCTTCCTTTTCTTATTCCAAATAGCAGCAAAATAATATTAGGTTATACTCGCCTTATCGCTAAATAGGCATGGAGGATGGAAGTGAATTTATAAAGTGCTAAAGACACCCCCGGACTTTCATAAGTTTACTGGAAAAGTCCCTGAACTATTATATACTCATTGGAAAAATTTTGGTATGAATTAATCAAAACTCTAAGAGCATTGGGTGTGGGCAACAAGATTCAACCCTAAGTTGTGCCCCTTTACATGTCACATAAGCAAATGGTGTTATAACACCAAGTGGAAAAATGAGCAACAAGATGCAACACCAACTTTTTAAGAATAAATATGTTTTATTTTTTGATTTTTTTTTTTCGAATTTGGTTTTTTTTCCTTTTTCGTTTTTTTTCCTTTTTACGTTTTTTTTAATCACTAAAATGAATATATTTTTATAAAACATAAAATTTTAAAAAACAAAAAAAAGACATAATATTTAAAATCTAAAATTACAATTATAATAAAAAAAACATAATTTTAAACCTAAAGTCATAAATAAAATACCATTCAAATTACTCATAAAATCCTAATTAACCCAAATATTTCTTCCTAATTTGTTACTTAATCGTTTGTAGCACCGCTAGATCAGCAGACGTCAAACCCTCCTCGCTCGTCCGAAGAATTGACAACTGATGTGTATCATTAGTTCCCTCTCTTTTTGCTCCTGCTTCTCCCGTGCCTGCCTTTCTAGGAACTCCAAATGACGACGTTTCAAGTCATTTTTTTCTTTTATTAATAAATTGTGCTCGTCGAATTTCGCTCTCATTTCCGCCGCATCTTTTGCTTTCGCCTCAACCTCCTCCGCATGCCTTGCAGCGCGCCTCGCTTTGTCGCGTCTGGGCGGTCGTCGTGCTGGGGATATCTCATCGATATCATCCAGTATCTCATCGATGTCGGTGTTTAGGTCGATGTGAGTCCGTGCGTCCGACACGTCGACCGAGCTCGAATTGCGAGACCTTTTGGATTG